AGCGTTGTTCCTGAGATTACTTGGGAATTATACAAGAGAAGATTGTTAGGTCTAGTGGCCCTGAGTCAGAATAGACTCGATAGCAACTGACAGCAACAATGGGTCCACTGGCAGGTCTGGTCTCACCCTGTCTCATAACCAGGTTCTCTGAGGAAAGGCTTTGCCTGAAATCCACAAAACGCACAACCTCAGAACACGGAGCTGCCAATAGTGTACAATGAGGACCCGGGACTAGAGAGCACTGGTGTTTCCTGTCCCTGCGAAGGGTGCGACTTACAAAGTCAGGAGACCTTGTTAGATCGGGGTTTTTTACTCTGAGTTAAGTGACTTTCTGATCTTTCAGGAATTATTACACTTGACCTTAGCCAAAAGGCCAAGAAGTGATAATTCAGGAATTACTAAAAGCTTACTATAGGCAATAACAGTATTTAATGCCAAGTATACAATGATGAGCAAAGAAAGCCTCAGGGAGGAAAGAGACAACAATGAAGTTTTATCACTTCTTATTTTCAACCAGATATTGTGGCTCCTAGTGGAATGCCACCGCAGCCCTGGTGGAGTAGTGGGTTATGCACTAGGCTGCTACCCTCAAGGTCAGCAGTTCAGAATCACCAGCCACTCTCCAAGAGAAAGATGAGATTTGCTACTCCCGGAAAGATTTCCAGTCTCAGAAACCCCAGGTGCAGGTCTACTCTGGCCTATTGGGTCACTATGAGTCAAATTGACTCAATGGTGGTGAAGGGGATCACGTGCTTCTCCTTTTTATTTATTTTTTAATATTAAGATCTTTTTAAAATCATTTTATTGGGGGTTTGTACAACTCTTATCACAATCCATACAAACATCCATTGTGTCAAGTACATTTTAATATTGAAATCTTGTGAAGCTGATTATCTTCAATCAGTTGCCTAGAAGTGCACCACTGAGAAACCAACCATCGGTAACCTTCTAGCGAAAACGTGGAGTTTCCTTGTGGCTTCTTACCCAGGAGCCGGGTTCCTTTCCTCTGACATCTTTGTAAATTTGGGGTAAATTTCTCCTGCTCTGCAGGAGAAAGATGAGGCTGTCTGTCCCAGTTAAGGCTTACAATCTTAATTGTACATTAATTTAACCCTATAGAGAGTTCGTTTGAGTTGGAATCAACTATATGGCCACAGGAATGGTCATTTCATCCGTAAGCAGAGAGCATAGAGCACTACTGTCATTGTTGTCATTAATATTACATTGGTGGGTTATGTCTACCACGTGCCAGCACAGAGCCCAGACGCTCCTTAGTGCAGTGAGCTAAGCATTGGGCTGCTAGCCACAAAGTCAATAGTTCCAATCTACAGTCTCTCTGTGGGAGAAAGATGAAGCTACCCACCCCAGTAAAGATTTACGGTCTCAGAAACCCAAAGGGGAAGTTCAATTCTGTCCTACAAGGTCACTGATTCAGAATCAACTTCACGAAGGTTTTTATGTGTATATGCCAGCGCCATAACTTTAAATCATTGAATGTTTACAAAGTAAATCATCCACCTACATTTGAGTATTTGTTGTTAAAATGTCAAATATAAATTGGTATCTGGTAGTTGTAATTTTCTTTGGATTTTATATATGCTGATGCATTTTGTACCTCAATACCATATCATATTGTTAACCTCTAAGAAGCATCTTATAAAAAGGTTTGTTTGTTTGTTTGTTTTTATTGAGCCTTCACTATGTGCCAGGTACCAAATTATACAGGTGACTGAGTAAGACATAGCATTGTCCACAGAAAAACCTTTATCTCTCTTACTGGAAGGACGAGGAAGCCAGTGGAGATTACAACAGTGTGGAAAATGCAATAATAGGACCAGCGCAGAATGGCCTGGGGGTCACAGCTGGCGTGGTGCGGCCAGTCAAGTGAGGCTCTCAGAGAAGTCAGATTCTGCATTGGTCCAGAAAGACCAGTAATTTAGATCATAACGTCTTTATCTTTCCCTGCTAATTGTTATTTTTCCTAAAGAATTTCACAATGCTAATCTCAAGGTTAGTGGCTGCATCAGTGGACACAGGCCTGGGAACAATTATGAGGATGGCGCAGGACCATGCAGTGTTGTGTTCTGTTGGGCATAGGGTCGCAGTCAACTGGACGGCACCTAGCAACAACCTCAAGGTCGGTGGTTCAAACCTATCAGCTGCTCTGCAGGAGAAAGATGAGGCTGTCTGCCCCAGTTAAGGCTTACAACCTTAATTGTACGTTAATTTAACCCCATATAGAGTTCGTATGCGTTGGAATCAACTATATGGCCACAGGAATGGTCATTTTGTTCCAATTCGCTTGCTGCGGAAGGGATCCTTGCTGGTTTCTTTTTTTATAGTGTACCAAAGAAAAATATAATGCTTATCTTGCTTACCTAGTGTAGTTCTAATTTTTCATTTAATTAATACCAAATATAACCACAAAACATCCTCTTTTAGTTTCTCTTGAAATAAAAAGAGTGAAAATCCTGACCCATATTTAAATAGCTCCTGTCTCAGGGGAATGCAAAGTATATTTTGAACATATCCTACTAATTTCTTTGTGATCTAGATGGGAAAGAGCCTTTCAATATATGGGAAAGGGCACACAGTACTAATCACAGACTAATTACCAAATCTGGAAACAGAGACTAATTAATTGTTAATTAATTAAATAATTAATTCTAACCCTAGGTAGAGGGAAACTAGAGGAGTCCTAGTGGCACCACACTTAAGTGCTCAGATGTGAGTAAAAAGACTGGCCCCCCAGCCCCACCCGCTGCTCTGAAGAAGCTGTGGCCATTGGCTTGTCTCTCCTATGGGGCAGATCTACTCTATCCTGTGCGTAGGAATAGCCTCCCAGGCAACGGGGGAGTTTCTTGCTACAGAAGGAAAAGGAGAGGAGGTGGGGAGAGAGAAAAAAGAAACAAGGAGGCGGGGCCACTTGGATCATCATAAAGCACACTGGAGGAAGAATTTTACCACTAAGAATGTCGACAGCTGTAAAGAAAAGGCAAATTTCAGGTGACATGTAATCTCATCTCTTCTTATTTTAAAAAACGAGTGAACAGCCGCAGGTCATTTTATGTCTCCATTTGCTTCATTTTTGCGTTGTGGATCAGGAGAAGGTTTGCAGACAGACCATCAGCTTTACATGCAGCAACATGCATGTCTTCTGTTTCAACTCAATCGTTGCAATCCTCTCCTGGGACCTGTCCCCCACTCCACTTTGCCCCCGTGTTTCCTGCTTCTATTCGTCCTCCTTTCCCAACCCTTTAAACTGTCCTTTTGATCTCTTGTGATTGTTTTTGTTTGGGGACCACAGACAAGGTCAGTGACCTCAAGGGTGACAAAGGTCCACAGGATCAGGGGGCCCACATTCATTTTTCTGACCTGGTTTCCTTTGGGACCCCGAGTTTTCATCTACATTTTTCTCCCATTGTATCCAGGACCTTGCAATGTGGGCCTTTTTCAGGGCAGTTGATAGTGGTAGCCAGGCTCCATCTAGTTCGTCTCGTCTCAGGCTCGTGGAGACTAATATTCACCTGGTTCATTAGCCCACTGGACTGATTATTTCCCTCTGTCTTTTGACTTACATCACTCCTCTTTCCTCCAGATGCGGAGAGACCAATGGCTGCACCCAAGTAAGATGTAGAACATTGTCTTGTGAATTGTGCAATGCCCATGGGCCTGCATGCCCCTCAGGACTAGAGCCCGATTCTTCACATTTGATAGACAATATCAAACTAAGAACTTTACATTTAGGAAACTTAAACTACTTTTACAGCGAGCCACTGCCTAATCTGTAATAACTATATTATTACAGATTCAGACGGCTGAGTGTTTCAAGGAAATGCAAACAAATGTAGGTCGAGTCCCCCCAAAAGTTGTTCAGAACACTGTGTTCATCTATTTTAATACATATTTTACAATGCCCTGATGAAAATACATCACCTCAAGGAATTTGAGAAATAGAAGAAATTTATATGTGAGTTTTGTAAACTATAAAGTTTTATATAAATAAGTGTATCATTCTTAAACTAAGCCTAATTAAGGATTGTTTAGTTTAATGATACTCTCCTTAGTGGAGCAAATCTAGCATCCTCCTAAGGCTAGAGTAAAATAAAAATGATTTGGCAGAAGCCTCCAAAAGTGTTCCAGAGTATGATTCTGATTGTCAGTCACATCTTACTGTTAAAATCGATACCAGATATTCCTTGGACAACAGGCATGCTTTGGATAAACATATGCTCCTATTGAAGAAATGCCCTCTTCCACATTTCTTTATTTAACCAATAAATTCACAAACAAAATGAAGTTTTAATTGATTGGCCTATTAATTACTCACATTGTGAAAGGCACTATCCCATGAACAAATCAAACAAAACTTTTGTTACAAATTCTGGCACAAAGTATCGAGAAGAAAAAACACGGTGCATATGGATGTTTCAATACTTGTTCTCACCCTCAACTAGAAGTTCTCCTCTACTCTCACGTTACATATTTATTGTTAAGGGAACAGTATAAATTGTCCAGACTTTTAAACAAGAGTTTCAGAAGGATATGTATTTTAGCCTGGAAATACATCTATGAAATATTTTTAAGCTCAGAATAAAAGTCCCAGAGTAGCACAGCACTATTCCAAATTTACTTCTAAAAAGGGAAGGTAAAAATATACGCAAATCATGCATTTGTGTGTGTGTGTGGCTAAGCATTGAGATGTTATGAAAGGAAAACATGAAGATAAGAAAGTGCGGCCCACTGTCCTTCCCCTCGAGCCCCACAGAAAACAGCGAGCACCTGATTTGTCCTCGGTGTCGTCGAAGTCCACGCTGAAGGAGTGCCCGCTGTTGCTGATGATTTTTGCGGAGCTGGGGTCATACTTAATAATAAGAGGTCGGAGGGAGGAGTCATATTTCACTTCTTTAGTTTTAATCTCAATTGGAGATTGCTGATCCCCGTCAGCAATGGGGAATAATTGGTGCCAATGAATAGGACCTAAAATAGATAAGAGCATTAGGTGAAATCCCAGGTAGATTAATCTACAGAGACAATAACTAGATGAATCGGTTCTTAGGCTTGTGGCGGGGAAGGTTGGGGAAATAGAGAGTTAATAATAAGGACAAACATGAAACAATGTTCTGAAACTGATGGTGGTGATGATTTCACAAATCTTTTTCATATATATAAATCACTGAGTTGTATGACTTGTCAATTTGTCAATAAAACTTAAAAATTTTAAATAAATAAAGCACATATAGGTTATATGTATATAGAGATATGTACAAATGAGAAAAACTAAATTCTTTCATTCAAACAAATATTTGTTGAGTACATTTTATTGTCCTTGAGATTGAAAAAAAATAAAGATTAGGAAAATCCTCACCCTTAGAAGCAATGCATCTACTGGTTTTTTATTTTAATAAAATGTGTTTTTATTATTATATAGAGGGAAACCACTTGGTTTGCCTTAAATCACTCTCAGAATTAGACTAACCCTTATAGGCAGAAGAGTGGGTAGATTTTATAAAGCATTTTTGGAGGACTACTCTTCTACTAAACAAACAGCGCCATTTATCACAGGAGACAAGAATTTGGTCTGAGGTTCAAGACTGAACTGTGGTCCCTCCAGAGATCAAGTTTACATACTGAGAGAACCGAAGGGCCTACAAAAGCTGATTGGAAATGTAGGGAGTCGTTCAAAGATGTTGTCTTTACTTCCTTCTTCTAGGGCTCAGTGCCACCAACGCCTCAGCTCTCTGGCATGTGATGTTGTGATGTACAACAGGGATGCCAGGAAAATACATGATTTTTTTGATCACAGGATCATCCAAATATGAATAGTGACTTCAGCTTGTCAAAAAATGTGGTATTCTTTAGTATCTGCTTTGGAATCAGGTTGCCACTATTTCTCTTTTGATGAATTGCAGAGGCCCTTCTGTGGTGGCAGTAGGTTGATCGTTAGATTGTTAACCACAGGTTCCTAAGTTGAATCCCCAGGAGAAAGAGGAGGCTTTCTGCTCCCCTAAAGATGGACAGTCTCAGAAACCCAAAGGTCAGTTCCACTCTATCTGACACCAGTTCCACTCTACGACAGGGTCGCTGTGAGTTAGAATCAACTCAATGGCCTTGACCTTTTGGCTACATTTGCATTCCAACCGAGGAGGCAACTGCTACCTGATTCTCTATGCAAAAAGTCAAAATGGCATCGATTTCATAAATCATAAACATGCTTGCTAAATTTACGTGAGCCACTAAACTAGAAATGCACTGAGCCCACGCTCTTCCTTTCTCTGGAAGACTGAACTTCTGCGTTTCAATGAAATCCTCTGGAAGGTTGCAGCTGCGTAGGAGGCCATTCTACAGATGTGTCATTTTCTATGTGATTGTTAGGTGTCGCCAAGTCCATGCAGACTCCATGTGACCCTCCTTACAACGATTGAAACACTGCCAGGTTCTGCACCATCCCCACAATTGTTCCTGTGTTTGAGCCCATTGTAGCTGCCAGGTAGGTCAATTCCAACTCATAGTGCCCCGATAGAATAGAACAGAATTGCCCTTGTGGGTTTCCAAGACTATAAATGTTTACAGGAGTACTTACGCTTCATCTTTTTCCCATGGATCAGCTGGTGGTTTCGAACTGCTGTCTTTGCAGTTAGCAGCCCAACATATAACCCACTATGCCACCAGGGCTCCTTCCACTACAGCACCATAGCTCAATTCATATATGGTAGAGGATCTTATTTTCTCATCTCCTCTGCCTGCAGTTTACACAGCTATCCATTGAGGTCCACTCATCAAAGCAGAGCAGATAAGCCAATATTACTAACATCAAGAAATGCTTACAGAAAGAACATGTGAAGATTTTTTCTTATAATGGATTTTCTTTTATAAATTTTTTAAATCATTTTATTGGGGGCTCATACAACTCTTATCACAATCCATACATACATCCATTGTATAAAGCACATTTGTACATTCCTTACCTTCATCATTCTCAAAACATTTGCTCTCCACATAAGCCCATTAGCTCCTCATTT